TTGAAATTGGTTAGTAATTTGGGGATATTGAAGTAGAAAGGGGAGCGCCATGTATGTGAGTGGAGTTTGTACATTTATGTAATTTTTTGCAATTTTGGCCGCCCAAAAAGAAGAAAAAGAGAGAGGGTGGTGAGAGAAGACGAAGAGAAAGGGGAAGGAGAAAGATAAAGTGCATATTTAATTGCAATTAAGGGTTTCATTAACATTTAATGAGTTAGAAAAAAGGTAACAGTTACATTTAGCTATAATTAAAATATTTTTAATTTGTTTAGGTAATTTTATAAATAAAAATATAAGAAATATATAAATGTAATAAAAATCATAACTTGAAGTAAAGAGTGTAAATTTCTCTTTGGGGTACTAATAGTGAAGAGCTCGCATGTGAAGCTTCATCGGGGAACAACTGGGCCCAACAAGAATTATCAGCGGCTCGGCCCAATTAAGAGAGTGACATAATGTATGAATTGAGGAGAATTGGAGAAGAAATGGATTGCTATTATAAGGCCAACAGTACATTATTACTACATAAATCCAGCAGAAAAGAAAAATCCACATACTGTGTGGACTTTTTTCTACTGTTTGTTAATTACCCAATACAAGAAGTTGCACAAATAAAGTTTATAATCATATTAGCTTATTGATAGCAACAAAGACATTTGTGTACGTTTATTTAGTGCCATTGATGAGCCTATGACTTATGAGTGAGTCACTAGTCTCTCTCTTGTTTCACTCCCTCTTAATTAAGCCCTGCAAATTACATGTGGTTAGAGATATTAATTAATTAATTGAAGTTGAGAATTAATTAGGTCTTGTCACATACGGGGTATAATCAATCTGTATTCTTCCGGCATTCGGGTTGGCAATAACAGCGAAAGCTTCTAGGGAGAGGTCGAGCTGGTTGGGCTCACAACCGGAACACTGGTCCAAGATCCGAACTGTAACCGCACCATTACGACAGTTGGCACCCGTGCATGCGACCGTGTAATTCTGCCCACAAGCCGCGCCATTGTTGTATAAGTCACGGTTAGCCGCGGCTATCATCGTGCCTTGGTCTACATTTCCGAAGCATGCTGATGCTGCGTATACGAACATATTATAGAATTAAATTTTAATTTTACGGTTACTTTTAATGTTTTGGATTGTCAATATATAGTTTCTATACAAAGAGATGTTCACAATAAATTAGATTTGATTATATTATTAAGATAAAACAGAGAAATTATGCTTACGAATATAGGGAGGAATATAGAAGGTGGCAGTTCCAGATATGGCACAAGCCATGGAAACTAAGCTAGCAGCTGCAATTGCCAAGATTATAACCCTTTGGGTGGCCATTTTTCAACCTCAATATATTTAGTATTCGTAAACTGTACTTGCAATTAGTTTGTAATTAGTTGATATTATGCATTGGATTAGATGATAAGTGTCCTGCTATTTATAGGAATTGGATCAAGTCAAGAAACCAAACTAGCTAATCGTGGTTTAATTATATCCTTAGAAAACTTGTATCACAAATTAATTAGTTGTTAGACTTATCTTGTACTGATTTAATTTGATTATGAATTTAAAGTCTTAACTACTGCACAAACTTCTTTTGACAATGCTTCTAGGGGTACTTCTTCTACTTAATTTCATAAATATAATTTTGACTTTACGGTTTTGCTATAAAGCCAACAGTTGGCTTTATAATGGAGCAAACTTTTTATACACAACAAATAAACCTACCATATTATCTGATTATTTAAATAACACTAATATAATTTTATTAATATGATAGATTTATTTGTTGTGTATAGAAGGTTGTCTATACTATAGAGTCAACTGTTGGTTTCATAACAAAACCGCGTGATTTTATGGACAAAATAGCATTAATATATAGTAGCCTGCTGCCTCGCTAAACATAGTATGATACCACAGCACTATATAATAATTAATTAGTTTGTCAAAAAATTACAAAAGCATAATTTATAAATTCATTTATCAATAATAAAGAAAATTAGTATATATTTTATACGACGATCGATCGAGCGTGTTATAATTATTGTGATTGTTGAGTCGGCGTGCTTAGTTCCTCGTTTTATTAATGAACTTTTTTTTTTCGAAATATTTTACAGACTCGTGCATCTCATAAAGAAAATTGCTAAACGTAAATAATTCGAGGGAGCACCATAAATTACGGAAAATTATACAAGTGATCCATAATATTTTTTATATAATGTATGTATGAGGAAAAGTATTTAAAATTGATTTTGTAAATATAGGGTTTTATCAGGCGTAGTCGTGCTGGCTCATTCAAATTTTAGGGCCAATTTTTTTAATTGTTGTAATTGAATTATCCAATTTCCTACGGGTGTGTGTGTTGATTTAACGTTTAAAAACTATGCAACAATTTTGTTTACTATTCGATCAATAGATACACATACCCACACGAGTGTGTGTTGATCTAACGGTAAAAATCTTCATCGACAAGTGAAATTTCCTAGTTTGACAGTACTAATTGCCTCATTGGGACTCGTTGAATAAGTGACACGTGTATAACGTAGAGAATAATAATATAACATCCTTTTGGGAGTTATACGACTTTAAAAATAAAATCACAATGAAATATTCCGTGAATGAGTCATAAGTTAAAAAACAAAAAAGAAATATATATATAAAACTTAAGAAATGAATGAAAAAAGACAAATCATATCTTAGTTATTTATAAAATGTGAAAGTTAACGTATATGTAATTAAAGAAATAAAACTTCATAAACTTAAAAATGAAATGGAATGTATTAGGGTGATCTCTGTGATTTTCTGTAATACTTCAACACCCCCAACAGACAATTTTTTGGTTAACTTAGCCTAGTCCACCAAAAAAAAAGAATGATTAGGCCCAAAACACGGAAAAATTAGCCTAGTCCACCAAAAAAAAAAAGAATGATTAGGCCCAAAACATAGAAAAATTAGAGATTTCGTCCTGTAAGTGGCACCAATTTTATGTTTGGTCCTCTAAGTTACCAAATTTTAGATGACGTCCCGTAAGTGCCAAAAAACCTGAGATTTAGTCCTAAACCTGAGATTTAGTCCTGTCACCGGCAAAAGCAGGTCATTTTTACCGGCTAGCCTACGTGGAATTTTTACCTGAATTTTTTTTTTTGCTGAGTTGTAATGGTGACGTGGAATATGGCATAATTACAAAAAATGGAGAGGAGGGGGTTCGAACCTGGTGTGATGGACAATGCAAGGGGCTTATGGGCCACTTGACCTAAGAACAATTAGTGTTAAAATTTGACTTCAATTATATATCTATCAAGAACGTTTTATCAATAAACAATATATATATATATATATATATATATATTAAATAATTATTAAAATTAATACATAATATATTAAATAATTATTAAAACTAATACAAAATATATTAAATATTTTTTTAAACAAATACATAAATTATTAAATAGTTATTTAAATTATATTATTTAATTATAAGACTAATTTAATAATATACATATATATTATTCAATTTATACTACTTTTAATTATAAAACTAATACATAATTTATTAAATACATGATATATTATTTTTTTTAAATAATACATGATATGTATTATTAAATTGTTTTATTAGTTAAATAAAAATTTACTGATTAAAGAAATATATTATATATAAATTAATAAATATATTCAATAATATAATGTTATTTCTTATTTACTATAATAATAAATAAATATATTAAATATTATTGTTTAACTATTTATACTACTTTTAATTATAAAACTAATACATAATTTATTTACTAAATACGTACTAATTATGAAATTAAAGTCAGGGAACGAAATAAATAAATATATATAGTATTATATATTTAATTACCTTGTTTAATTAAAATTTTATTATCATTAATGTTGTTTTATATTCTTATTTAAATTTTTTAGTTTTCATTTATTTTTTTATATATTTAATAAATATATATTAATTAAATAAATATATTAAATAACATAATAAATAAATATATTAAATAATAATTCATTATTTTAAATATATTAAATAACATATTTATTTTTTAATCATATACTTATTTAATAATAGTTTTTTTGTTTTATGTATTATTTACTATACTTAGGATTTATTTTATTTTCATTTATTTTTGTTGAAAAAAAATATTATATCATTTAATATATTTATTTATGAATATAATAAACGATAAAAAGAATTAATAATATTTATTAATATACATATTTAATAAATTATATAATACATTTATTTATTTATTTATTAAATATTTAATTAATAGAAAAAGAATCAATAACATATATATTATTTAATAAATTATGTATAATTTTAAAATTAAAATTAGTAAAAATTGAATACACACACACACACACACACATATATATATAAATATAGGGGCTGGTTCAAATGCGGCCCACTCTTAAAATGCGGCCGTGAGACTCAATTTGGGCCGTCCATTAAACACGCTCAAAACAATTCACCTGCGCGTAATTAGATACATTATATATATATATGTGAAACACGTACAGTTCAAATAGGAAACAATCAACTTCGCGCAAAAACTTACACAGAGAATCGCGAGAAAATCTTCCCAATCTCAACTTTCCTTCTCAATTTAATCGCGTAATACAAAAAGCAACGATGTTGATGGAGGTTATATCAACAGAGATTGAAGCATCTCCATTGCCGACAGTATTGGCAGAAGGTATTCAATTGATTTTGATGTTGATTTTGATTTTAATTTCAATATTGTTGATCCTAATTTTGACGCAATAGTTGAAATTTAAAATATTCGAGGTTGATGAAGTTGATGTTTTTGATTTTGATCTTAATAAAATTGTTTTTGATGAAAAAACCATAATTTACGCAGAATATAACACTCAATCTGCACCTAATAGATCATGTTAGTCAGAAACTTTGATTTACGATTTAATCGTCGATTTCTGAAATCTAGCATGCATGATCAACTATCCTAGCAACCAGGTACAACTAACCTAGCATGAATATACAACTAACCTAGCAATCACAAAAAAAGTAACGTGGCAACTGGACATAACTAACCTTGAAAGTGGATAGAACTATTGTAGCAACAAAATACATCTAACCTAGCACCTAGAGACAACTAACCTAGCAGATGGATAAAACTAACATTGCAAGTGAAAAACACCTAACGTAGCAACTGGACATGACTAACATAGCAACAAGATAGAAGTACCCTAGCAAATTAACATAACTAGCCTAGCAAACATCAGACAAGTAA